TGTTATGCTTTGACTTATGTTGTTATGTTGCTTTGTCCTCTTTTATCTCAATCTCCCCCTTTTTAAAAAATGTATTTATTTTTATTATTTTTTTAATTAAGGGAAAAATCAAAAAAATTAGCAGGATATATTATGGTAACTTTTTTGATTTCCTGTTAACTCGATGTGAAGCCCTGTATTGCTCTGACCATCTTGTTTTCACTGATTTTACTCTATGCTGTTCTGTTTGATAGTATCAATTTTAAGGGTATAGGCAACTGCTTTGAAGGCAATAAGATTCACTACGATGCCCATTCTGGTTTGACTATTATCTTCTTTCGAAGTTCAGTAATGTCTCCAGTGTTGAGGTTTTATTGGTTTTGTTCTCTACTGTTTTGTTCAATTTTATTATACCTGATGATATATAGGCAATTCTTTTTAAAGTATCAAGAGGCATTATGGTAACCATAATGTTGTTGATTACCTTGTATTCTGTTTTTACATCATGTACTACGTCCATCCTTTATTTTGGCTGACTACTTTGTTTTGTCACATTTGGTTTTACTCTCTTCCAAAAAAAAAAATAGTAATAAGAACTGTGGGAGTAATAAAACCCAAAATGTGTAAGTGTTATTATAAAAAAAGAGAGGAAAAGAAAGTGTTCTGAAGGACACAACTGCAAGTGTGTTTAGGTGTGTAAGATAGATTACTATATCACTAAGTTTTTGTTGCATCATTGAACACAACTGTTTGTAGTCTCACTGTTTGAATGTTCACTTTGTATGCTTAATTTTGTAACTTGATCAACTATTTCTAAGATGACAATATGTAATCTATTAACTAGTGATTTCTTACTGTTTATTTTTTTTTTTGAAATTCTGTATTACTGGTACCCTTTTAAAGTTTTGTTTAGTTTTTCTCCTTTAAATAAAATAAATTTAGAAAATTCTCCCAAAAAAGAAATCATATTTTTACCTAGATTTGCCTTTGTATGCCTTAAAAGGCAAGAATCACATTTTTAAAAGTAAATGATAAAAATAATTACAATTCCTTTAGTGTTTCAGTTCAACTATTATTTCTTTCATTAATAAACATTTATCACATATAACTATATTTTTAGGTATTATGTAGATATCATATTTATACTATATGTAAAATATAATCTTTTAAGGGTTCAGAATTAACATTTATAGAGTTTAACACAATACCTATTACATGATCAATTATCAATGAGTAGTAGCTACTGTGGCATGGTTATTATTTACTATACATCAACGATACATTGAGGAATCCTGGCAGCACTGGTTTTAAAATTTTTCTCTTTGAGAAGCTCTGACTTCAAAAATTTAATAAAATAGTTTAAACAGAATAGTTTATTTTTAGAGAAAATTTTTACCTTTAAGGGTTTTTTGCCTATTTGATCAGAAATGTGATGCCCCTTTAGAGATCAGGAAATACAGATAATTTGCTCTGAAACTTCTTATGGTCAGTTCTGTGAATTGAGTCCATATCATCCTCACTTTCATGGGAAGGTCGTCAGTGACTATTGATTTTGGTTACCAGAAAAGGACACTCTGAGTGAGGAATTTAAGGCTAAATCTGCAACTTGACTTCAAGGGGGCAGATGATCCTAACTCTCATCCTGAGAAAATAATTTATTAGAATCTCCTCAGATGAGTGAACTCACATCGTATCTGCAGTTGCTTTGCTTAAATTCACTAAGAACACTGCCAGTGGGAACATATCCATGTACTAAACTCTGTGGTTCTAGTCTCAGATTCAGGTCATTGTATGAGGCAGTATACTGATAAAATTCAATCAAGGTAGATGTACAACTTTGTAAATATTTTTCTTGTAAAATTTTCTCAAACCTACATCTTTGTCTAGGACACTGGTCTGTTGTCTCATGAAAACCCTGAAAAGCTTGGCTCAAAGGAGCTGTTACCAATATTTGTGGGACGGAAATGAGACTCCAGGTCACAGAGTGTCAGTGTGTCACTGTAGACAGAAATCCAGGCTCACCTCAGATAACCAAGAACACTTCTGAGAATGGCCTACAGAGGATCAATGAGTAAAAAACCTGCTTTGTATGCCAACTTCCTTAATCAAAGCTGTTTCATGTAAATCTACTCAAGTTATAATACGAAACATGGGGAGGAAGATACAGAATATTACATTGGCATTCAAAAAGAATAGAGAGCAGAAGAAAGACACAAAAATTGTACCTAAAATTTAGCTAGTCTATGATGACTCCAGGTCTGTCTCAAAAGGCTTCATGGTCACCCAATGCAGCACAATAGATAAGAGCTCAGGCTGTGGATTAAGGCAGATAAGAGCACAAATACTGGCTTTACCAGATCCAGCTGAGAAGCTGGGTGTATGTCCCGGCTTTATGTGCCTCTAGTATACAGCTTCATCTCAACTGGTCATTGGCACAGCTTTTGCCTTTGCCCTGAGACCATTCTCTAGGACATCTGTTCCAGGAACCCTTTCCAACTAGCCTTACTTCCATGGCTATCTCCCTCCTCCAAATTTTCATTGTACCAACAGTCAGAGATAACAGCTGTTATCTTAATTTTCCCCTCATCTCTAGTTTGAGCCTACCCTGGCATAGAAATTCTACTTGATTGTTATTCACAAAACTGAAAGATGTCTTACCTATTGAATTCTTACTCTCTGTTAACTGTGATATTAAATATTTATGTTCATTGTCTCACTTGATTTTTATAACTTGTGAGGTAAAAATGGTTATGTTCATTTCATAAATTAAAGAAAAGAGGGTCAGAGAAATAAAATAATTCGTTCATAGTCATCTAACCACTAACATGGTAAAATACAAATTCATAGTTCAGGTTTTGGGCCCTGTTATGCTGCTCTGTCGTAGCAGTCACAATCCTTCATTCACATGCAGTAGGGTGGGGTCAAGGAGACTTGTGTGGACCACCTGGAGCCTTCCCAAAGGATACCTAGTGCCTCCATGTCTCTAGGAAAAATTTCACTGCACTAACTTCTCCTGTTTTAAATGCCCTTAATGGGAAGGTTGTGCATCCCCATGTGCACTGAGAAGGAAATAAAAAGTTGATAATCTTCTAAAGTAATATTACTCATTTCATGAATGCTTAAGATCTTATGATATTTCTTAGGCACTGTAGGGAATGTGCAGCATGGATTGGGTCATCAAAAGACTATTTTAGAAGTAAGTTTATTTTCATAGCATTTTGATTTCTTTTTATTAGCATGTGTTTTCAGGGCATGATGTTTACATTCCTTGTGGAATCTGGCACATGTATGTGACAACTTAATTCCATTGTTCATCCCCTTTCCTTTCTCACCCTCTTCCCTTCTTCCATCTCTTTATCCCATTCTCATCCAAGAAAGACCGTCCCCCTACTTTCTATTATCTACCTTTTATTTTGCTTTTTAAATTTGGCCTTTTTAATATAAGGGAAATCATGAAATATTTAGGCTTATGTGTCTGATTTATTTCACTTAACATTATAGTCTCAACATGCTTTCATTTTCCTAAAACATGACTCATTTATCTTTGTGGCAGAGAAGTACCAGATCCCATTGTGTGTAAATAGCATATTTTACACCATTTACACCATTGTGTGTAAATAGCATATTTTCTTCATCCATTCATCTTTTGCTGGACATACGGCCTGCTTGGAAGATCTGGCTACTATGAATTGTACTACTATAAAAATGGGTATACAGGTGTCACTGTCTTTAATGCTTTTGGAAAGATACCTAGAAGGTAAGTAGCTGGGTTTAATGAAATTTCTAGTTTTAGTTTTTGAGGAATCTCCATACTGCTTCTGTAGTGGTTGCACTAGTTTATATTTCCATCCCCACAGCCTCACTGGAATTTGTTATTGATATTTTGATGGTGGCCATTTATTCTGAGGTAAGATGGATTCTCAGTGTTATTTTAATTTGCATTTCTAGTGACCAGCAATGTTGAACATTACTTCATATATTTACTTACTGCTTACCGAAGTATTGAACATTACTTCATATACTTCTTCTGTGAAGTGTGTATTCATTTCACTTGCCAATTTTTTCATTGGGTCTTTTATATTGGGGATATAGTTGTTTTGAGTTTGTTATGTAGCACTTAAAGTTAGTCCTTTGTCTGAGGAATAAATGTCAATTTTTCTCCATTCTGTAGGTTGCCTCTTCACTCTGCTGGTTGTTTCTTTTGCGGTGCAGAAGCTTTTTAGTTTGTTGTGATCTCATTGGTTGTTTCTTGGTACTATTTTCTATAAAACTAGTTTTATTCAGAAAAACTCTGCCTATGAATATGACTTTAAGAGTTCTACCTATTTTATCTTCAAGCAGGTTGTGTTTCTGTTTTAACATTAGTTCTTTGATCCATTTTGATTTTTCTTTATATGGTTAAGGTTGGACCTGATGCTACTTGATGCTGAAACCACTGGGTACCATTGAATTTTTTAATGGGAAGATAGTTAAGACAATCTAAAAAATTACCCATATAATACTTGATACTGTGGATTCAATGAAGAAAATGTAGGGAAAGGAAGACAGGAGTGGAGGCAAGTGTTGGATTTGCTTGCTGACTGTGAGGTTGAGGAACAGAAAATAAATATAAAAATACATTTGAAATCCAGAGACCTGATTAACTTTGGGGTTTAAGGAAGGCCAAGAATGAATAATCTTGAAATCTGATCACTGTTAAGTTGCTAAAGACAAATCAGAGAAGGGACAGATTTTGAGAGGAAAATAACGTCTTCCTTTAAGCAAACATATCTATACAAGTAGAAAAGATATAGAGGCTCTACAGGTGGAAAAGATTACAAACTATTTCAGAATAGGCAACTACGTATGCTGGTGAGCAATACATAAATATAATGTGTGAAACTGGAAGGACTTCCTTAAAAGGTGAGTTTGAAAACAGAAAGAAGCATACTCCCACTAGGCACATGCATGGCCAGAGTTTTAAAAAAAAAATGTTGGCTTTTCAGAGAACTAAAAGAACAGCTTTTCTGTTTCATTTCTAGACCAAAGTTTGGAGGGAAATACTGTACTGGAGAAAGAAAACGTTATCGCTTGTGCAACGTCCATCCCTGTCGTCCAGATGTACCAACATTTAGACAGATGCAGTGCAGTGAATTTGATACCATCCCCTACAAGAATGAATTCTATCACTGGTTTCCTGTTTTTAATCAAGGTAAGTAGCCATACAGTATGCCTCAGATCTAGGACTACTTTTCTGTCAGGGTTTCTGTGAAGTCCTGTTAAGTTCCACGAGGACTAGTGGAACCATCAAGAGTTTTACATTTAGAAGATGGTAGTACTGACCTGATCAAGTTGATGTGTAAATGTTGATGGCTAAATATATTTCATACTGTTCTGTAGGAGATGAAAGAAAGTTTACCAAAAAAAAAAAAAAAAATGATTTGCTTCAAGACTATTGAAGTGCTACTCAGTGGTAAATGGAACATGTAGATAGTCAGGTACTAATTGCTTACTGATGGGCATGTGTAACTGTCTGCCATTTTGGTGCAAATTCAGAACAAAAGACCATTGTGAGTTGGAGTAATTTCTTTTTTTTTTTATTTTTTTTTTTTCTGTGACCATAGAACAACGCAACAACCAGAACAAATTTTATTTATTTATTTATTTATTTTGTTTTTAAGGGTACAAGTTATACAGATTTACAGGAAAAAAAAATGAACAGTAGGAAATCACTAGTTAATGGATTACATATTGCCATCTTAGAAATAATTGTCCAAGTCACAAAATTAAAGCTTGTAGAGTGGACATTCCAACAATGATACTGCAAACAGTTCTGTTCAATGATCCAATAAAACTCTGTGATATCATTTTCTATCTTATACACTTAAATATACATGCAGTTATATAGTTTAGAGCACTTTCTTTTCCTCTCTTTTGTACCATTGTTTGAAGGAGTTGAAGTAATTTCAAAGAGGCTTTCACGGAAGCAGTGGATGATTCTTAAGAATGAGTTGTGTTTCTACTGAAAGAAGAAAAAGAGGAAGTATTCAAAGCCATTTCAGGTGGGAGAAGAATAGCATGAAGAAAAGCAAGATAATAGCGATGCCTTCATCAAAACTGAGAGAGAGAAAGCCTTGGACCAGAATCCGTATTTCATAGATACAGAGATAAAAATCAAAATAAAATTATCTAAAAAATGTATGTCAGTGACCTAACCAAGCTCAAGAAAGTTAATAGCAGGTCTGACAAAACCAGCTCTGGAAGAACCAGTTACACATTCTCCCCTGACAATAAGGAAGAATCTGTGATCATTAGTTACAGGCTAACACCAGAATCCATCATATCTATACTATGTTGTAAGGAATGGAACAAGCAAGATTTTTTTCTGAGCTATGGAGATTGGAGGCAATGCAGTAAAAAAATAGCTCATCAACTCTTTCATGATTTATAACTTCCTCTATTAAGATCTTATACAAAAATGTTGAGCCATCCTGTTTCAGCAAAATTGAAAGTGCAGTACTTATCCAATATCATTCACTTACCTGAGCTTCTTTTGAGAGGATTAATCAGACAGGGTGAGGGTGAGAATTCACCGGTGGATTAGTTTCAGTGCTTACACCCAGTGGAATTATGAATGGACTTGAAAGCTTTTGAAAGCTAAGGGTGTGGCGGGGGGCATCAAATGACATGCACAAAAGGATATGTCAGAGAAGATGGATAAATGTGAGACAAATAATATCCAGTCCTATAGCAGAGATAAAATCTACAGGATGATCTTTGAAACAAAACATCTCTTATGATTACCAGTGAGAATATCATCAATTACCACCATTAACCTAAAACAAAGGCCAAAGAAAGAAGGTAAAGGGAAGCAGAATTTTAAGCTCAGCCTTAAAACTGCTTAAGCATAACTCAGCCTTCAATTTTAATGTTGGCTTCAAGTACAGGTTTCTCTGTGTCCTTAGGCATACCGTCACTCTTTAAAGTCACAGAGGTGGCTCTATCACCTGTTCTTGTTGCTTCAAGGTTATTTAGTAGACATTTCTAAGGCTACATAAACCACTGCACTAATACTCAGCAAATATTTTTGTTTTATGTGTAATGATCATTATATAAACTGTCTAAACTTAGAGGATACCTAGACCATACTAGGGAAAAAAGGAAATGGAGGTTTCAAAACAAAGACCTTTCTTCATGGAGATGTGCCATGATTATTACAGAGAAAAGGAGACTATTCTCTGTAGTTTTATTGTCTGATAACAATATTGCTTAAAGAAATATATGTCTAATAGCAAATATAAATGAGCATAATAGAATAAAATGAAAATAAATTCCTACATCCCACCTAACTAGCTTATTCTTCAGATATTATCATTGTTAGAGCATTTTTGTTTGCACAACAATGGAATCATCTTTTCAGATTTTAAAGCTCTCGATCACTGAGCAGGAGATCATGATATTGGGGTTTACATCATTCCTCTCAATGACTACATAGCATTCCATTGTATAAATGTAACCTCCTTGATTTGTCCATTTCTCTCTGGATGAGCATTTCGCTGTACCATGAATGTCCCTGACTTCTATCACTAAGGTTAGTATTCATTTATAAGACTTTCTAAGTTGATAGTCTTTTAGGATTTAAAAGGTTTTTTTGGTGTTTGATTCAGAAATTTCCCCCTAACAGTGTTGACCACTGTCACATAAGTTATTTGGTAGAGGTGGATTAAAAGCCTTTTCTGGAAGTAACATTCTGCTAGTAATCACTGCGAGAGATTAATGGTAACTACCATGTCATCCATGTAAAAGTCCCCTGTGCAGACTGGAAAATGGAAAAGCTTTGACAAGGTTTCAGAGTCAGAGATGGGGTCTGAATCCCTATAGCTAGAACTCCAGTGATTGGTGAAGGAGGTTGTGTTCTTTCTGACTCTCCTGAGCTTTTCAAGCCTCACAAACACGTTATTAATCTTTTCTCAGGCCTTGATGCTTATTAGTGGCAGAACAATATGCAAATATGGTTGAGCTCCCTTGAGGACACGCAGTTTCTTTGAGGAGCTTCTAAAATCTCTAGTCTTATAATTGTAGACCTCAAAGAACCTTAGTAATAATTGTACAACTGGAGTATCTTCAATTGAGGTCTATAATCATAGTAAAATAAAGTTACGGAACCACCTACTGCCTGAGTAGGATCTAGAGTTCTTATATTAAACTTACAAGAATCAAGGTATTCAGAAAATAGTAAAACAAATCATGATTTAACAAGGAATTGTTTACTAGTGGCATAATGAAGTAAGCTGCAGGGGAAGAGGATACTTCAAAAAGTTTTGGGGTTCTTTGTGTTTTATTTTGTTTCACTTTATAATAAAAATTGAGCCAAAGTTATACATCTTTTAGAAGAATAGAATGTCAAGACTACTTACACAGGCCTTTACAATTCCTTTAGTTTGTGATATGGAGATAAAATACCCATCACTTCTTGAGCGTATACTGTATACCCAGCACAGTGCTGATTATTTGACTAAAATCTCTGTCTCTTTTGGCACAATTACCTTGCAAGACAGGTATTTTTATTCTCATTTTTCAGACAAGAAATTTATTTGTAAAGTAATTTAAATCACTTTCTGAAGGGAATATTAGATTTGTATGAATCAAAACATTTAAATATGCTCTCTATAGAAGTAGACGTTAACAGACGTAGTATTTTCTTTTCACCTCTTTGCATTTGGTCCCCATCCACACTCAGAAGGGCCCAAGTACCTCATGCCCCATGCAAGAATGGATTTGGAATTAAAATGGGATCCAACCAGCATGCTACCAAATTTTCTGAGCATTTTCCTATTATTATTTGTGCACAAAACATTGCCTGTTAATCTGAAGAGTGATTAAAGATCTCATCAAACACTGCGTGTATGAAAGAAAATTTTATGTCTGTAGATTAGAAGTTAGCAAGCAGTGTAGGCTCTGAAAATAAATTGGTGTGGTGGCTTAGTTATGTCATTCATACTGGGAGATCCTGAAAAATTTGACATTACTATACCTAAAATTTTTCATCTATGAAATAGTAATAAAAGCACGAACTGAATAAAGTGGCTGTGATTATTTAAAAATGACTATAAATCAAAACAAAAGCTAAGAAATAACATTCAAGTAATAGCTATTCCCTTAACAAGCCAAGTTCCTTCTAATTCACTATATAAAAAAGAATGGCAACATCTCTGGATTGTTTTATTCTTGAGAGTGCGTCAAATAGCACAAACCCAGCATACCAAGATGAACCTTGGAATTTGAAGACAAATACTGCAGTGTCACCGTTCTGGAACTCAGTGCTACATTTATTACTGTATAGAATATCATTCCATTATGAGAATCCACTTAAAATCAATCAAGAGCCTCCTTAAATTTCTCCTTAAATTTCACATCTTAGGTGTCCCCAGACCCTTTACTAGCACCTTTGAGATAGACAGTTTTTAAGAAAATCTCCAGAATTATTCAGGCCTGCTTTTGTTCAAATACAAAATCCTAAATCTGAATTATAAAACTCGGTACAAAGTTTTAATGCGGTGGTTCTCTGCATTCAGCAGTTAGATGGGTATGCTCATTCCAGGGAGAGAAGATCAGCTCCCAGGTGACTCCTGATACGCACTTTCTGCTCTAGTTTGGGTAAGGACAGGGCTAACTATGCTGCCAGGAAGGGAGATACACAGTAACCACAAGTTGTGCCTTTTCCAGAGTCTTCTGGCTCTTTTCAACTGTACTTTATTCAGTGATATGTTCAATTCATTTTTATTTTGTCTTTTTTTTTGGTCACCTGATATAAAATCAGTTGATGTTTTCCGTTTATGCTTGCTTTTATTCTTTAAACTTTGAGCAGATGTAGTTGACATCTATTTCATCTAAGGTTTCAGTTAAGTGTTCAGAACTTGTGCTTTTTAACATGTGAGTTTTACGATTGTATTTCCTTACCACATAGATTGCTGAATCCTTGCAACAGAGGTAGTTAGCACCATGCACTCTGCCTTTCATTTGATTCCCACACTGAGAAGTGATTATAACAAATGGCCTTAGGACTAATATCAGCGAGCCCATTCCTCACAATAAACAGATCCAAAGATATTCCTAAATGGACTCTGAAGGAAACATTCTTCAATTTTTTGCTTAAAGGAAAACAACCTAGGATAAGCAGGTTGGCTTCAACTTCAGGAAAAAAATAAGTCCTTATGTGATTATAAATCTGTCCAAACATTTCTTGAACTTAAGAATATTGTTGGAGATGGTGGTAATGGTATAAGTTGTAAACCAACCTCATGGGAGCAGAAACCTCTCCTATAAAGATTCATATTTGCCATGAACAGTGAGAGGCATCATTCTTGCTTGGAATCTGACACTGCTGCTTGCTCTCAAGTGTCTTTTAGGTTAACACTAGATGCCTACTGCCTTATTTTTACAGGAGCAGTTTGATAGTTCATTGTTGGATTGAAAGGTCTCATCATTTGTAATGAATAGTTAAATAGCATTTTAAAGTGATCTAAATTTAATTAGTTATAAAACTCTTAACTGAAAGAAGAAAGAAATAAAGCCTAAATTTTAGCATGGGTCTCAAAAAAGGAAAAAAATGAAGACACTAATTTAGATGCCACTTGTAAATCCTGTGTGTAAAGGATTCCTGAGCTAGAAAGCTAACTTATAAAAAACGTGTCTTTTTCTCACTTCAGCACACCCTTGTGGGCTCTACTGCCGACCCATAGATGGCCAGTTTTCTGAAAAAATGCTGGATGCTGTCATTGATGGCACCCCTTGCTTTGAAGGTGGCAACAACAGAAATGTCTGTATTAATGGCATGTGTAAGGTATTGGGTATGTTTCCTTAATCTACAACTTCATAAAAGCATGATCTTTGTTAATATAAGTCAGGTGTTCTAAGATTATATTTTCATGGCATTTGCATGCTACCTGGTTTTATAGATGATCTGAGAGACAAGATTTCTTAATGTTCATCAAAAACACAGCTTTGACCAGAACAGCTTTTCCCTCCTGCTGTGACTTTCATTTTGTAATTTGTTGATGCTCTCTATGACACTACATTTTTAAACATGAAATCAGAGTCAAAATGCAAACCAAACCAAAGGACGAATTACAAGAGAAGACAACCTAGATTATCTCAGGACCCTTAAATTTAAGAAAACCTGAAATTAGTAATAGTTTGTATAATATTTCCAAAAAGCATCTCAACATTTAATTCATCACTGATTGTCAACACTAGGTTCATAGAGAGACAGAATGATAAGTAATCAGAATCCTGGGGTCTCATGCCTTTGATCAACTCCATCTTTATATAAATCATTTAGAACCAATTTGTTAATGCTCTTAAGTCTAAAACCATTAATGATTTCCTTCTTATTGCGTGCAGTTTATTTTGCAAGGAATAGAGGAACAAGTCTTCTTATCCAATCCCCAAACATAAATTTCAATTTAAGGAGATGTTTGTAATCAGTTAAAGGAAGACTGTATAGTAATACCTAATTATACCTAATTACCTAAGTAAAGCTTAATAGTTTAATGCTAGGGCTCCAGGCTATAAATTCAGTGCCATTGTTTATCAGCTGTATGGTCCTACATATCTTTCTAAGACTCAGTTGTCTGTCATATATTTGGGACATGAACATATCCACATAATAGGCATTGTCAGAAAAATTAATAAGGTCATGTATTTAAGGCCATTGAGAAAAGCCCTGACATATAATAAATTTAGTTCATTTTGTTTCTGCAAAAATGTATCAGAACTTTTACCTGCTGAACAAAGTGACCTCCATGAAAAGCTCTTACCCATAAATGTTTAGTAACCTTAGAAACTGTATTTAATCCCTTAGAATTGTTTTTCTATTTACTTGATTGGCAACCAAAAAAATAAGAGACAAGGTGATAATTCCTAGGCACAAAAAGCCTTAATTAGACTCTAAACTTTAAAAATCTCAGGCAATTTTTTCTTGTAAGCCAAATAATTATCATTGTAGCTAAAGAAAGCCAAAAATAACATATATTGAATTAGGTCTGTTTCTGAGAGAGGGAAGGTGGGTATCTACATAATTCAGACCATAACAGCTCCTACCCTGACTAAAGCAATGGTTTTCATTATTGGCTACACATTAACATCCCTATAGAGCTTTAAAAACTACTTATTTCTGGCCCCTATCTCAAATTTACTAATTCAAAATCCCAGGTGTTTGTGGTCTAGGCAGTGATGTTCCAAAATTTCCCCATTTATTAGTGAATGAAGTTAAGGCTGAGAACTGTACTCATAGAAAAATGAATGTCATACTAAAATTATCTTTTACTTTTTATGATGGCATGTTTGCAGTGCACAATGATTATATCCATTCTGAGGAGTTGGTAGATACACACAGCGCATTTTAATTCTTTTGTATTGCCTTCACCTCCTCTCCTTCCTTCCTTTTCTCCATCTCTTGGCCATCTTCCCTTTTGCAAAATATCTGTCCTCCTATTTTCTATTACCTGTATTTACACGTTGTTTTGCTGTTTATTTTACGTTAGACCTAAGTAATGTTACATGTATAAAGACAGCAACATTGTCTTGCACTGGAAAACCAGTGCTCTGAAAAACAAAATATAGAGGGTCTTGGGTATCTCTGTTGAAAGGAATTAAATAAACTTAATATAATGACCCAGAATCTCTCAGGTTGTCATTCTCTTCCTTGGACTTAGTAAAGCCCCCTTAGAAGCTATAATCGCTCCCTTTATCTATGATACACTGAGTTAAATTGTTAAGTTTAAAAAATTACTTATGACAAAATGCTTTCCAGTGCACTTCTTTCAGGGTCAAGAATTGATGATACCATGTGAAATGAGTGGGTTTTTTTTCCAATGCTGCCCTTTGAGGAGGTGGCTGATCCTAGAATCATAAAATCAGAGAAGAGCCATGCTGAGGTCATAACCCACACTTAGTAGAAACAGAAGAGCCACCTCTGAGTTTATCAAAGGTAGACAGGTCACACTGTTTAAGAAATGAGAAGAGAAGAGGAGAAGAGAGGAGAAGGTCACATTGTTGTGGACCCAATTGCCACAGAGTGGACTCTATTTCTTTTCCACTGAGACCCTTCATGTTCTAATGGAAGAGGAGGGCTGGCTTATCCTTCATAGCCCTTTGGTTATACACTTAATTCAGTTTGATTGTACTATGTACAGCTTCCAGGGGAAACAATTGGATGAGCTTTCCACAATCACCCAATCAACATGCAACAAGATGGCATAACGAGGACATATGAGTGTTTCTGCCCCCACAACCCTTGACCCAGTTATGTGGGTTAATAGTGCTAGAGAAATAGGACCACCCACTCAGAAGAAAGATGAAATTTAGGGATATATTTTCTGGCTTGCTTTCCTTTATTCTTCATATTTTAAATCTATTTCTTTCTTGGTAGAGGTTAAAGAATAAACTTTAAAATGTATATGTCTCAGAGTATTTTTCCAAATCAGTGAAGAAATGAATGTCACTGGGAATAGGTTTGTAAAGGTCAGCTTATTCAAGGATGTTCAAGCTTGACATAAACATATCACTTGTGAAGAGTTTGCATTTTACTTGTAATCAGTGCAGGAACATGCCTAGGACATTTTTTCTTTCTATTAGGATTAACATAATTAAGATTTGGCTTTTAAAATTTTATTAGCAATTTATTTTTTCCCTCAATGGTCAAGTGGCACAGCTTTTGTACCAACAGGAAACTAAAGACAGTTAACCTGAAAAATTGAGCTATTTTCTGTCAGTGTGCATTAGATTCTCTGTTTTAACTGGAGAGGGTAAAAACATTCGAGCCATTCTTACTTTCAGTATATTTGAGGTAACTTTAAAATTAGAAAGAATATTATCATTGAAGGGAGGCATGGTGGAACATACCTATAATCCCAACACTCTGGGAAGGTGAAGAAGGATCACAAATTGGAGACCACTCTGGACAACGGAGCAACTTAGCAAAACCTTGCATTAAAATGAAACACACCAAAAATAGGGACTTAGGATGTAGCTCAGTGTGAAGGTCTTGGTTTCAATTTCAGTAGAGAGAAGAAAGAATGAGAGAGAGAGAAAGAGAGAGAGAGAGAGAGAGAGAGAGACAGAGAGAGAGAGAGAGAGAGATACTTCCATAAAAAGAATAAACTGAAGTCATTTGTAGAAAAAATGAATGCGTCTTGAGACCATAATGTTAAGTGGAATAAATCAGACACACAAGCTTAAATGTCATATAGTTTCTCCCACATGAGAAATCCAAAACGTCAGTAAATTAAAAAACAAAATAAGGGGCTGGAGGTTTAGCTCAGCGGCATAAGCACCTGCCTTGCAAGCAGGCAGTCGTGAGTTCGATCCCCGGTACCGATAAAAAGGAAAAAGACAAAAAAAAAAAAATAAAAATAAAAATAAAAAAAAAATAAAAGATAATAGGAAAGAGTGAAATAGATCTTTTACAAAAGGGAAGGAAATTGAGATGGATAATGACAAAGGAGATGAAAAAGAATTAAGATGTGTTATGTACATGTACTAATTCCATATGCATGTTATCATTATGTACTGCAAATATATACTAATACAAATGAAATTATTGAAAGAAAGAACATTATCTTTGAGGAGAAGAACCTCTCTAGGTATAATTCTTCTTCCCAAGCAGTAAAGAAAATTATGACTAAAGGAATATAGTAGGGGTTTTCCATGAAACTGAAAGAAAGGCAACAGAGAAGTTTAATTGAATTTCCATCTACATTTTATGACTTCCAACCTGAGTGGGATGCTTTGGGATCTAATGTTTGAGAAAACTCCAGCTTTCATCACACCCTTTATTTCAAGCTGGAATTTTAGAATGGAAAAGAGTTGGTCATATTAACAAATAGAAGGGACAATGGAGAGGGAAAGATAGTAACTCAAAGAGGACCACTGAACAGAACCCTGAGTACGTATGATTTCCAGAGCACAGGAACAAAATTAGTCTTTGTCCAGATTTTTAAAATATACCTTACGGAACATGTGCAGACATTTTCTTGTCCTTAGTCCTTAGATAATACAGTGAAACAACTATTTACATTGTATTTACACTTCATTAGGTATCAAAGAGATCTAGAAATGATTTAAAGTAATAAGAGGTTTGTGTAGTACTATGTCATTTTATGTAAAGGACTTTAGCATCTGCAAATTTTGGTATCCATAAGTATCTGGAACCAATTCCCAGAAATATGGAGAAGTGACTGTATTTCCTTTACCATTGGTGGATGCTTTGGTTATTCCTCTGGCTGCCACTAGGAAAAGAAGATAACTTGGTCCTTTACCTTTGCACCTGCCCAAGGGGGCAAAGGACAAGTCATAGATCAAGGAAGGTGTGGCACTTCCTACTTGTGTCATTCATGTTGATCTTTCTTCCCTGCAGATGGTTGGCTGTGACTATGAGATTGATTCCAATGCCACAGAAGACCGCTGTGGTGTGTGCCAGGGAGACGGCTCTGCCTGCCAGACCATAAGGAAGATGTTTACACAGAAAGAAGGATCTGGTAATAAACAGATAAATAATTGAATTGGTAGGGAATTTAGAATACAATTTTGGAAAAGTGATTTATTGATTCCTACTTTTTATTTTTTAAAAAACAGCTTATAACTTTCAAAGAATTCAAAATTAAATATACACTCACTAACAAAGGAATATGAGTTCCTCACAGCTTTAGGAAAGGGACTGATTGCTAAACAAATACTGGAGGGATCACACTGACCTAGAGATCAGTAGCCTGGTGGATGCTGCTGGGATCAGTGAGGAAAGTGTAACACCTGGCAGAGAATCCTGTTTGGGAATAGGCATCACAAGAGGATATTGGGCAAAGTATTATGGAAACAGACCAAGAACAAGAAGAAGGAAGAAGTCAAAACATGTCCAAAGAGTAGACACTAGACACAAGACTTGGTTCTGTATATGAGGGAAGGTAAACCAGCAGTGAATTTGAAGGCAGAAGGGTTGAGGTAACCTTAGGGCCAGCCTTGGGAGAAGTAAGGTGGGATTGCTTCAGCTCTGCCTTATTTTCAATTGCTCCCACAGGCGCGTTCCACCTAGTGGCTCTTGAAGACTCTCAAGGCATTTCTCCACCTATCATCTTACTTTTTATCCACACTTTACTATTCCTTTCCTATAACTATCCTTCATGAGGTTTCTTCTTTTATGCAGCTTTGAACTACCAGCAATCCTAGGGGAGTGAAGAGCGCATGCTTACCCCAAATCAGTTATAATCCTGTGCAGATTTGTCTTCAGTTAAAATATTCATAGTCCCATCGAGCTTAGCTTTAGGAAAAGAGCTAAATGGGGCCTGGAGATGATGAAGACAACTCAGGGTGCCTTGGTTATGGTTTCCTCAGCTACACCCTGAGAAAAGTGCTCATATATAAATATTTAGGGGGCAGTAGGTCTTGGGAAATACTAGAATGGTGTTGAAGAAGTGAAAAGGCGACAGACAGGCAGCCAAGAAAGGGTGTGTCATCAACGCAGTGGCCCCTGTACAAGAGTTAGCACAGAATTCATAGAGCTGAGCCTTTCCACCCAAAGAGTTAAGGAGGGGGATGTTACACCCCACTCGTCATGAATGGAGGGTGCTCCAGGAGAGTTGGGCTGCTAATTCTCTGGATTCTGTAGGAATGCCAATGTTGAGAATGAGGAATTCAATATGTGCTACACAATATGTCCTGGGAAAGGGAGGTGGAGTCTATTGCCCAGAAGCAACATCCAGGATGGTAAGACATGACCAGTGTATTATATAGCAGGGATACAGTTTACCACATCTTGGCAAAGCAACTCCTTTCTCCTAGACATGCGTAAGGATGAAGTTACTAAGCAGGAGTCCAAAAATATCAGGTATGTTCTTAAACTGATTACATGATCAATGCCCGCTAGTCAGCATAATAGTGGACAGCCTGAATTTGTTCAAATTCCTTCCTTATTTTTTCATCTTTGACTATTGAATTACTAAGGTTAAAGTTTGAAATTCAATTCCTTCCTGTCCCTTATTGTATTAGTGTATATTAGTTATATAAAACAATGGGTTCTGAGTTTAGAATTATCATTGGAAGATTGTATTTCCTGTCCTTGATTGACAGCTTTCTTGTGGACAAAAGATATCTGATTTATGCTATAAATATAAATGATAATTTAGTATGTTTTAAGCTTATGATTAAGCACCTTAAGATGGCTAAGGGCTTTGGATCTTTAAAAATATATTTTGTAATTATTTTCTATTATTTGGATGTGGTCTTGTTTTCTTAAAAGCTCACACTCATAATCATTTAAACTCAGTTTCATTTTTTTATCTTAGTAATCAAATAGGGATTCCTCCTTTTGTTTCCAATTGCCTGTACTTCTAACATTGTGGTAACAACTTAGAAAATCAGAGTTGTTATCCCTAAATCTTTTCCACTTAAACTCCAAATTCCTTGGGTCACTCAGAACTAGTTTGGGATTATTTTTTCTCTGCCCTCTTTTTCTTTGAGAAAAGAAAAAGGGATCAGTAGGGGCTTGACCCCCCCTCCCTCTCACCCAGCACCCACCTCAGAAATCTGATTGCCACATGCCACCACCAAGCACACGAAATGTCTTTTTGTCTTCTTGTTTCTAGTTCTCCTTCTCTTATTTGCTACTTTGAGGGCTTCTGGTGCATCTTAGAACCCAGGGAGTAGTGTCAGTTTTAGCCTGTTTTGTCCTGACAGCTTTCTCAAAGCTCTCTGACCCTACCACCCCACTGCACTGGAAAAGTCAGAAGTTAGAGAGGCTTTTTTGTTTTGTTGTTTTGTTTTTTCTGCTGAACTGCCTGATATAGTAAGGTCTATATCCCTTGGACCTACAAGGCACTTTCCATGACCCACTTTTGCTTTGTAACTAATAAAGTTAGGCTTGTGCTTATATTATTTGATCAAGTTTTCATGCATATACCTTATAATCTGAGCAAACACTTTGAAGATAATAATACACAATATATTAGCCATTGTTAATCTCATATTATCTTGTTTTGAAATTCTCTATCGTTTTTATCATTTTTTCTATGTAAAATAAAAATAAATAAAAACCCTAGGTACCACTATCTCCCCATGAGAATAAGACCAAGAAGTGATGCAAAATATTATGTAATGCAGTTATATTGCATTGGGATAGTTGATTAATATGAAATCCAAAGTAAACGTGTTTACTCTCATCTCTTTGAAGATACCTCATGTATATTCTTTATACTTACCTTCATGGCATCTTCATTTACGCTTTATTCACTTTCTCTAACACAATTGTTAAATGAAAATGGACTAATCCATTCTTTCTATCAGTGTCCTTCTTTTCCTCTTATTTTCTCCCTCATGACATCCTAGGGATGATCATGTCAGTATATTAACATGAAAAATCCAAGTGTTGACATTGGGAAGAGTTTTCAGGAAAAATTGTCTATAACCACAGCCTCTTTGGGATTCTCCAACAACTAAGTTTCCATCTTTCTCTGTAGAAATGAAATCTGTTTAGTAGACTTGATACCTTATACAAGATAGGACCATCTTACCATTTAAATATTATCACAGTTGAAGAACGTAAAGTTCATCTTGTAGATTCCTATATTAATTTCCATTTTCACTTGGCATTAAGAGATATTACTGTGATGAATGTGACCAGAAGTCTCTTGAATTAGAAGAACTTAGGTCAAAAGTAGAGTATTCTACACAGAGATAGTAAGATCTCTCTTATTCATTGATTAATTCATTTATTACCTAAAATATTTTGATTGAGCATTCATTGTGTTCTTGGTGTGAGGGAGGAAATGATGAATAAGGGAATGATTCTTCCCACTGTCTTCTCTGTTCTATACCGTGAAGATAACAAGCCCACAATCTCACTCTGACACTTAACTCATGGCAAAAATTAAAAAGGGAAACTATTTCAGAAGGAAATTGATGGAGTATTGAGCTCTGGTTTTCTAAAGGCACTTTGGATTTATCACTCAGAGTCTTGAGCTTTATTCTGATCTCTTGTGCCCATTGTTTTGGGCCTAGAACATCAGCCCTTTGTAGTTCCCTCAGCTTTAGTTTATTTCCAGTCCCTGGATTCTGTGATAACTCACCTAAATACCAACTGTTCTTTCCTGACATTATTTAGCATCTTGAACTGCTAATAAACACCACTCTGGATTGTTCTGCTGGCCTCAGTTAGGTTCTCTAGACATCACCATTGCCAGGCCCTGTGATCACTGAAACTAACTTCTGATCTTGTTCACATTGGTCTGCCTTTCCTTGTGACTGGGAAAAAGGGACCACCTTCTCTGAGGGTACTGGAACTCTCAAATGGCTAAGTAGGTTACTTACCTCAGTGCCCAAACTATCAGCTTCAACTCCTGCCTCCTTTATTTAATCATAATCAGAATGTTCTTAGATTTTCTTTGAAAATATTTTTATCTGAACTAGAATAGTTACTGTGGAAAATTATCTTTCATATGTATAGGAACATATTCACATATATTTAGTACATTTATTGCATAAAAGAGTTATTATAACTAAAAGCAATAAAGTAATCCAGTTTCTTCTGTCTGACACTGAACATGTGATTTTGTTTTCATTGTTAAGAATGTTAGAAAAGGGGCCAGGGGATATGGCTCAATGGCACAGCACCTGTCTGGCAAGTGCGAGGTCATGAGTTCAATTGTGGTACAAAAAAAAAAAAAGAACGTTAAAAAAAATCTGCAGTTTAGCAAATAGAAAAATAGAAAAAAATAGAAAAATAGAAAAAGAACAGCAAAAATACCTGTTCTATAAACATTTCTTGCCAAAATTCATAAGCTTTAGAACAGGAGAGTCTTAAAGTGGAATAAAAGAAACAGCTGTGTGGAATTCATGCTTCACTGACAATCCTATGTTTATGCGCTTAGTTCTTAAAGCAGCGCCTGCGTAAGTCCTTTCACTTACCTGCTTGATGAGCAAGCAGTGTACACAGTGTTAGGAACTGACAACAGTCACAGTTAATGCTGTTACTGCGTGTTTAATCCCATAATAATGCACACTGTGGGATTTTTGTTGGAACCACTAAGGCTCTGTGACAAACAGAAGATTATAAATGAGGGAACCCACAGAGACATCATCAAACAGGTTAAAGACTCTTTGGCAGCAGTGTGCATAAAAAGCATATAAAAAACTGGCCAGTGAGAAAAAAGAGATACTTGTAGAAAGAAATGTACTGGCTTCTAGACTCAAAGTTGCTCCTGAAGTATGCCACAATATTCAATGTATTTGCTGTTTATTTAAGAGAGAACTGAGAGCGTGCTGTGGTTTTAAGTTGACAGCTAATATAAGACGGTCAGTGCCTTAGGAAGACTCGTTCACTGGCAACATACAGAATTGCCTGGCATAGGAGAATCTAGTGCTGGGAGCCATAAAATTAATCCAGATTTAGTAATTGAGGGCCAGGATTAAAGAAATTCATGTGAAGAGAATGAGAATTAGAGAAGAAAACGTTCTAGAGACAATTCAAGGTAGAAGGTAGTACATAATG